TGCTAGTTATGGGTACTTTTTACTGAAGTACATTTCAAAGCCTCTTTACTTTAACTTGAGTGAAGAAGTTTAGTCAGTACTTCTACTTTCACCAGAGTATTTTTAAACACCAGTATCTGTACTTCCACTTGAGGAAAGGATGTGTGTACTGTTGCCCCCCCTCCTCACCTGGGGCGTAGCTCAGCACCCGGAGGTCTGGCTCCTCCGCTGCCAGCACCTTGAACATCATCTCCCGAGCTGCCTTTCCAGTGCAATAAAGCGCCCAGGATTTAAAAGGCTGCAGGGCGCACAGCGAGGTGATGTTGACGACGGAGCGACAGAGCCCTGATCGGGGGGGGAGAGCCTGAAGGAGGCGGGCCGTCAGACACAAACAGGAAGTCACATTCAGGGACAGGTAGGAGTCAACCTCGGCCATATCTGTGAAGCTGCTGGTGAAACGAGACACATCCCCTAGAGAGGCTGTAGAGAGAGAGAGAGGGTTAAGATAAGATGCTATTCAGATGCTGGTTCCTAAAGTGAGAACAGAACTAGGTAAAAAAAGCTTTTAAATATGCTGCACCTTCTGCTTGGAATAATACACAGAAGGAGCAAAAACTGTCAGATTTGATCACTTTGGGGAGTTCAAGTCCTTCTTAAAGAGAACAAGAAACCATTGGTCGATGTGATTGCTCATAAATCCCATAATTGACGTCGTTTTAAATTGTGTCAGTTTTTAATGTTTCATAACGGTCTATTTCATTTGCATATTGAGTGGTTAATGTGACATTTCATGTTTTGTGTTTTACAGCTGTATTCGTCTGCCTGTATTGTCTGTGTTTTATCTGTTGTAACTTTGTTCATGCGGCCCTCTTGGCCAGGTCGCTCTTGAAAAAGAGATTTTAAATCTCAATGAGACGTTTAATAAAGGATATATATGAGATAAGATAAGATGAAACTTTATTTATCCCCTTGGGGAAATTCAGGCATTAATAGCAGCAACGGGTCAGAATGAAAAACAGGATTCATACGGGGGAAAATACAAATAGAATACAAATTAAAATATTAATACAGCAAAAATAAGGTGATAAAGTAACTATTAAAATAACATATCACAGTAAAAAGTTGTGCATTTGTATGAACATGTTAAATATATTTACAAAAGTGTGCAGATGAGAGTGCAGGTTAAAGTCTTAAAAACAGTGCACTTGTTATGCTTGAACAGTCCTGGTTACTATTAACGGGTTACAGTGTGTGGGTTAATGTTTACAAGATCTGAGTGCTTCTCCTTTTACTCAAGTACAAGATCTGAGTAGCCTACTTCTCCTTTTACTCAAGTACAAGATCTGAGTATTTCTACTTTTACTCAAGTACAATATCTGAGTAGGCTACTTCCACTTTTACTCAATTACAAGATCTGAGTACTTCTCCGTTCTCCCACCTCTGGTTTTGGGTCATTTATCAGGTGATTAATGGTAATTAGCAGGTTCTTACCAGCGTTGTTGACCAGTATCACGTGATCTATGTGTTCAGAGAAAGCTGCCCTCGAAGCTGAAACGACGCTCTGCAGCCCCGCCATCTGAGCCAGGTCTGCCGGTACACACTGCACCAAAAGGCCGGATTTACCTGCCTCTGACCCGGCCAGCTCGACCTCCAGAGACCGCAGGTTTTCCTCCGAGCGAGCCGTGAGAATGAGCACCGATCCCGGCTTCACTAACCGGGACAACTCTCTCGCTACAGTCCGACCAAAGCCCCTTGAGGCCCCGGTTATGATGCACAGTGCACGGCCCAGTTCTTTTCTCTGAGTGGAGGACATGTTTTCTGCACCATGCACTAGCTGCGTAATATCACTTCCCTTAATTTCCATCCTTTGCGTCCCTTGTTTACGTCTTTTCCTTGCGGTTTAAAGTCCCTCCCACCAGGGATGCATGGAGAAACGCTAAAATCCCTTTTCAAAAGTCTAAATGTAAGATTTGAAGTTCTTGCCACATTCAGTGTTCTGTCTGATAATGTTGGCTTAATATGTAATGTTGTCGCGAAGGGAGAAGAAAGCAAGGAAATTTGATTTTTAAGAGCAATGGGACGTCCTTACTGTGTGATATATATCCAATGTAAAGTGAGGAGGAGCAACAGGCTGTACACCCAGCGGCAGCGCTGCCCAGCGGTGAAGCCAATCCGGAAGTGCCACACACTGCAGTTCATATAGTGGACGGTAGGGGGAGGCTGCAGAAGGGAGCAATTTCCGTAGAGCCCCCATGTTAAAATGCCCGACTTTAAAGCGGAAATAAACATGTTTCCATCGTGGTTCAAAACACGATATTCACTGTATGGTTAGATAACTCCTTCATGACAACTGTGAGGTTGTGAATTTTCGCATAATAAAGTATATGTATGTATGTAAGCAGAGAGGACTGCTCTTCTTCTAGGATATTACAGGCTGAACATACACCTGTTGCCCTGTCGCCATCTCCCGGATCCACGGTCATTTACACAATGAACCTAGGAATACACTTTATGAAACATCGTACATTAGTCTGTCTGTCTGTCTGTCTGTCTGTCTGTCTCTCTCTCTCTCTTTCTCTCTCTCTCTCTATCCATCCATCTCTATCCATCCATCCATCTCTCTATCTGTCTGTCTGTCTGTCAATCCATCAATGCAAAACATATGTATTCTGTCTGTGGCATTAAACTTCACGCTTTCCGTTAATAAATACTTTTCGAAACAGCTCGTAAAATGTATGTATTTTTAGTTATTTTCCTAAAGAAATTTTAACTATA